CAAATGGGATCTGAGGGGTATCGTCTAACGGTGCTATTACCCCGATCCAAATGGTGTGTGAACTCCCTAACATTTCCTGCCTTCAGAAAAACTCCCGGGAGTACCGTAGTCAGCCCAACTGCATAACAGAGTACCTACAGATATTGCACTTACGCCCAAAATAGGTACACAGATGACGTAGGAAACAGAAACAGTCGAGCGCACTGGCACGAGGCGCCACCACCATTAGCACGATAGATGGATCGTATTTCAGCTGAGCCAAACATGGCTGTCATCCATCAGAAATGGAATTATTTGGATAAACAGACTAGTGGCATCATAATGACCGACCTTCACAATTCAATGTCACAAGCAATTGCCAAAGGTCTTAACAAATGTGAGAGGAAATCGATCACGTGGCGCGCTCTGACTGCTTTGATTGAAGTCCACAAAGAAACTCGGTAATCGAAAACGAGTTATCTATCATTAGAGGAGAAAATCAGTAAAGAAAAAGATGTTGATGTTTCCGAATCGATTGCTTTTTGTCTCTCCCATGCCACGAAACTAGTTCTCGACGTGGAAATCAGGAATTGACCAGTTCTTACTCTCGAAAAAAATTGTTGTTCCTTATTTTGTTGACAATTTACGAAGTTCTCACTTTTAATTTAGGCTATGAATTGGTCAGAACTGCTATACTCCCAGAGCAGAATAGTACCGAGCAGTTAAAACCCGAGACTAAAAGCTTGACCGGCTCAGCTACATAGGACTGAGATCCGATCTGCGCCTAAGATAGAACGCCATGTTGACAAGAAAAATGAACGGGATCATGCTTTCAGACAAAGGTTTCTCGCTCTACACTGAAGAACACGCCATGCATCTGGAACAGTCACAAAATCCAAAAGCGTTTGAAAGGTTTTTTCCTCAATGGAAGTGATTCAGCCAGCCGTTCATCTCCTGAAAACGCCAATCAATTCGACAGGACCAACACAGTAACTTTGCAGATGGATAAAGTAATGACATGTTACAGCTCCCGTTTTGTGACTCAATCTTGCCAGAGATAAGCGAGTCTCTATCCTTCATAGGAGTTTAGTTGTTACCACTATGTCACTGTGATGAGAGAAAATGGTTTTTCCGTGCAACTGGCCCTCAATCTCTGCCCTGACGCTATGGCCCCCAACTTCACGCACTTCTTCTTCCTCAACTCCCCTCGGTCTCTTCTTCTGCCTGTACGACTTCCCCTTCACAACATATTTTTTGGGGGGAGGGGAGGAATTCTTTGCAAACA